CATCCCCTGCTGCGACGGTCTGAAGCGCTGGCTGCGCAATATCCTTTCGGCAGCTGTCTTGCTGGTCATATGATAGCTGACCGTGTTGCCAAGCCACACTACTTTTGGACAACTCACTTCTGGCGACGTGTCGTGCTCTGATGGCTCCGGCTCTGGTGGCGGGAGAACCTCGGCTCCCGCGGCATCTCGTTGCTTGCGCCCCTCAGCCTCAGCTTCCTCAGCTTCTGATTTGGCACCCAGCTCGTCCTCACCGCCCTCCCGTCGGACACGTCGTGCCCTCAAATTGCCACCGACTCTCATCTGCGACATTGATTGAAAGCTGATGAAGTAGCAGCCGTTGCGTAGCTCCACTGTCACAACAGGCTCTCCACCTTTCAAGAACTGCTGGTATGCCGATTCCAGATGGTCGCTGACAGACTCTTCATAGGCGTTGAATCTCCCACCTCCCTGCCACGTCCAAGTCCTCATCAGCAAAGATTCCCCACAGAAAACCCGAACCATGATCAGTGCAAATCTAAACTACAATGCTTCGAAAGCTACTTGTAGTTCAATTCATTTTTCAAGCAATGCCAAAACAGACCTCTAAGTGCTTTCTACAATGTGCTTCGAACTGGGATATGGATTGGATCCTGGGAGTACTGAGGGATCGAGGTTTCATCGGAGAGCCCCTATTTCCGACGCGCTAGAACACTGATGTGTTTTCTCTTCCTGAACTCTCACCGCATCCATGTTGGGACATATCTACTACGCGCGCTACACAAGTGAGGCCGCGCTCGCCTTGTATGCAGGTCGCAGCCCAAAGGCAGTAGGCATGGTACGTACTACTGTCGCCTCAAACATAGCCGCACTGTGCAGGACCACATTTTCAATTAGTTGTCATACCACGGGAATTCCTTTCAATCTTCCTTGACTCATCTAACCTTGTATGAGGCGTGCAACTGTTGCTACAGAACTGACATATTGCAGGTCAGGGCCTCCTGCTAGACCGATGCAAAATCCATGCGACCCACAATGAAAATTCCGCAAATTGCATACTCTACTCCGTAAACCGCGCAATCCGTAAACCGCTATTCGGGATTAGGTTTTGAACAAGCTAGAAAACGGGTACTATTCGGGGGTATCTTTCGGGGGTATGTTTCGGGGGTATGTTTCGGGATGTCTGTTCGGGATGTTTCGCGGGTGTGTTTCGGGGGTATGTTTTGCTGCGGTCGAACTTCCTGCCCTTACTAACCCGGACACACGCAAACAAATGTAACCCATATAGAGATATACAGAAAAAGAGAGAGAGAGAGAGATAGAGAAGTAGATAGGTAGATAGACAGATGGATGGACAGATAGGTAGATAGACAGGTATATAGCAAGACAAACAAGTGGATTGAAAGCTAGCTTGATAGACTGCTAGATAGGTAGATAGGTAGAAGGCTAGATGGGTAGGTAGAAAGAGAAAGAGAAGAGAAACCAAAATGACATTAAATAAGAAAAAGATAAAGACAAAAGGAAAGCAAAAGAAGAGGAAGAAAAAGACAACATAAAGAGACGTAGAAAGAAATGAAAGAGAAAGAGTGAAGGAAAGAGAAGAGAAGAGAAAAAGAAAGACCTGACAAAGACGATGAGACAAGAAACAAACAAAGCAAGAGTCAAAGAAAGAGAAGGAGAGGAAGCAAAGAAAGATAAGAACAACTATATAATGATTCAAATTACTGAAACTTGAAACAACCGGATTCGCCGGCTCTACTGGTATGATAGCTGGATCATGCCAAGCCACACCACTTTTGGACAACCCTGTTGGTCTTCTGGCGACGCGACTTCTCGTTGCTCGCGCCTCTCGTGAGCTTCCTCAGCTTCTGATTTGGCACCCAGCTCCTCCTCACCGCCCTCTCGTTGGATACGTCGGGTCCTCAAATTGCCACCGACTCTCACGCTCATCTGCAGCATTTTCGGAAAGCTGATGAAGTACCGGCCGCTGATGAGCTCTATTGCCAAACCAGGCTCTCCACCTTTCAAGAACCGCTGGTATGCCGATTCCAGATAGTCGCTGACAGACTCTTCATAGGCGTTGAATCTCCCACCTCCCTGCCACGTCCAAGTCCTCATCAGCAAAGATTCCCCACAGAAAACCCGAACCATGATCAGTGCAAATCTAAACTACAATGCTTCGAAAGCTACTTGTAGTTCAATTCATTTTTCAAGCAATGCCAAAACAGACCTCTAAGTGCTTTCTACAATGTGCTTCGAACTGGGATATGGATTGGATCCTGGGAGTACTGAGGGATCGAGGTTTCATCGGAGAGCCCCTATTTCCGACGCGCTAGAACACTGATGTGTTTTCTCTTCCTGAACTCTCACCGCATCCATGTTGGGACATATCTACTACGCGCGGTACACAAGTGAGGCCGCGCTCGCCTTGTATGCAGGTCGCAGCCCAAAGGCAGTAGGCATGGTACGTACTACTGTCGCCTCAAACATAGCCGCGCTGTGCAGGACCACATTTTCAATTAGTTGTCATACCACGGGAATTCCTTTCAATCTTCCTTGACTCATCTAACCTTGTATGAGGCGTGCAACTGTTGCTACAGAACTGACATATTGCAGGACAGGGCCTCCTGCTAGAACGATGCAAAATCCATGCGACCCACAATGAAAAATCCGCAAATTGCATACTCTACTCCGTAAACCGCGCAATCCGTAAACCGCTAGTCGGGATTAGGTTTTGAACAAGCTAGAAAACGGGTACTATTCGGGGGTATCTTTCGGGGGTATGTTTCGGGATGTCTGTTCGGGATGTTTCGCGGGTGTGCTTTGGGATTTTCCAAGGTGTGCTTCGGGGGTATGTTTTGCTGCGGTCGAACTTCCTGCCCTTACTAACCCGGACACACGCAAACAAATGTAACCCATATAGAGATATACAGAGAAAGAGAGAGAGAGAGATAGAGAAGTAGATAGGTAGATAGACAGATGGATGGACAGATAGGTAGATAGACAGGTACATAGCAAGACAAACAAGTGGATTGAAAGCTAGCTTGATAGACTGCTAGATAGGTAGATAGGTAGAAGGCTAGATGGGTAGGTAGAAAGAGAAAGAGAAGAGAAACCAAAATGACATTAAATAAGAAAAAGATAAAGACAAAAGGAAAGCAAAAGAAGAGGAAGAAAAAGACAACATAAAGAGACGTAGAAAGAAATGAAAGAGAAAGAGTGAAGGAAAGAGAAGAGAAGAGAAAAAGAAAGACCTGACAAAGACGATGAGACAAGAAACAAACAAAGCAAGAGTCAAAGAAAGAGAAGGAGAGGAAGAAAAGAAAGATAAGAACAACTATATAATGATTCAAATTACTGAAACTTCCACCAACCGGCTTCGCCGGCTCTACTGGTATGATAGCTGGATCATGCCAAGCCACACCACTTTTGGACAACCCTGTTGGTCTTCTGGCGACGCGACTTCTCGTTGCTTGCGCCTCTCGTGAGCTTCCTCAGCTTCTGATTTGGCACCCACCTCGTCCTTACCGCCCTCTCGTTGTCGTTGGATACGTCGGGTCCTGAAATTGCCACCGACTCTCACGCTCATCTGCAGCATTTTCGGAAAGCTGATGAAGTACCGGCCGCTGATGAGCTCTATTGCCAAACCAGACTCTCCACCTTTCAAGAACCGCTGGTATGCCGACTCCAGATAGTTGCTGACAGACTCTTCATAGGCATTGAATCTCCCGCCTCCCTGCCACGTCCAAGTCACCATTGGCAAAACGGCCGCAGCTTTCGCTACTTTAAGCTCTAGAGGTCACGCAGCGGGGCGGTATTCCACGCATCAAGCTGAAACTTTGGATGTGTCCATTCCATAAGAACGTACTCTATACACTTTGTCGCTTTATTTGACATATTGAGTGGAACCCCCCAAGGTTGGCTTCTTTCCGCTTTCCCACCAAAGCAATGGGGTGCCGCGCAGGCCGCCACCGCGCATTTAGCGGGAACTCCGGGCGCCCTCCGACCAAAATTCCGTCAGAGCCGTCAGGAGTAGTGCCAAGCTTTGTGAGGGCTCGGCTAAACCATAAGAAACCTCGAGACTCACAATCGAGACTCTTGACTGCACCATTTCTGATTCCCAATCTATTTCAGGCATAGCTCGGGTCTGGGTACTCACGGTTTCTGAACATACCAATCCACCGTGCCTTCTTAGCTCCAAGGATTCCGAGAAACGATCTCGGAAGAACTGAACTATCGGCGTGTTTCGAAAATCAAGGCCCCACCCCCTCCCCCTTCAGTTCACAACATCCCCATGGTGGCCCTCTCCAGCCCGGAGGAAAAAACAAGTTCCTTGCGCTTTTCTATTGCAATCCGACCTTGGGGAGTTCCAGGACCCTTTGGCCCCGACATGCCCCGACAGTCCTTGATCTCTCCCCGTTGCTTTTGTCGGACCTCGGAGCTGAAGACCCGGTGTGCTTGCACGCGAACGTTTCCACATGCTCAACACGCCAAGATCGATGCACGAGTCGGATCGCAAGCACAGCTCATGTGTGGGCAGAGCCTGGATTGCCTGCCAGAGCTGCAAAGGCCCTTGCAACGCAGTCTCTGCAAGCAATACATGCAGCTTTGTCTGAACGCTGGAGGCAGAACGGTCTGAGAGTCTGATCAAAAGAGAGTTGGCCAAAGCACCTGTCTTCTCAACACAAGCCAAAGCGTTTGGCTTGTGAAACGATGCCTTAAAGGGCGTCCTACCTTTGGGAAACAAAAACCCATGGTCGTCGCTATAGATCAAAAAGCGCGACTGCCCAGCCTGATGACAGGCCTGCATAGGGCGAATCTCCGAAGGGCGAAATTTGGGTGTGTCCAAACAAGAAATGTGGTTGTCCTTTTGGTTTCCCTTTCAAACCACCCCAGAAAGAGTTCCCAAAAAAGAACCACCCAAGTGAAACTGTGGAGTTGCAACGTCTCGGACAATTGTGAGCGGAGCAGTTCCACACAAGACTTGCCTTCGAAACGACCAGCGGTCCGAAGTCTCTTTCACCAGTCCGGTTCAAGGACTCCTTTGGAGTGAGAGATGCATGCCAACGTCGCCCACTGCGCATGGTAAAGCCTTGGACGCGGCCCAAAGAAAACCTCTAGGTCGCAGCGTGTCTGAAGGCCTTCCAGCTTGGACGGACTGGCACGGCATGCCAGAGGGGCGGCCCAAATCTCCAGCGCCCCTTTGGGGAATATCTGACACAAAGCCTGTCGTAGGTGAGAAAGGATGGACCCACTGCCTAGATCATGTTTAGGAGAATCACTCACATAGCATGGCCAAGTCATCTCAACACAAGATTCAGCGTCGCACGCGGTGCTGTTTTTCTGTTGCCACTTTGACTGCGCGGCCGAGGCCGGGTTGCCCGCTCTTGCCTCAGCCGCTGGCTGCTCATTGCTCTCTGCAGATCTTTCGGCGTCGCGAAGTAGGGCGTGCGTGGGCCACGGGCCGGAGGAGGGGGAAGGCCTTGATAAGGGGGAGGGTCAAATGGCTTAATGGTCTTCTCCTCTGTCTTCTCCGCCTTGTCCCCGGTCTCCTTCGGCTCAGCCTCCTTCCCCTTCGTCTTCTCTGGCTCGGCTTCCTTTGTCGTCGGAGGGGCACTTGCACGTTGCACCTGGCGAGTCCTCATGCTGCCATCCACTCTCATCTGCCGCATGGCAGGGAAGCTGATGAAGTAGGAGCCTTGGGGCAAAACCACTTGAACGCCAGAAGTCACTCCACTTTGGTATTGCTGGTACGCCATCTCGATGTATTCATTGATCTTCTCGTCATAGGCATTGTAGCGGCCGCGCCCCTCCCAAAACCAAGCCATGCGCCAAGAGCAAGCTGGGCACGTGAGAAACCAAGAACTTGAGCTCCAGATGTTGCGTTTGCAAACAGTTTGGCTGTGGGTCAAAACCCTGCACCCCTGGTGAACATCTAAAATAGGTGGCTTAAATGGATTCTCATCCACCCCAAAATGGGATCGCCATTGGTTATGCAACCCATGGCCATTTTCTCTGTTCAATAAGACGCACTGAGGTGACAAGCTCCAAAGCACAAGGCCCGCAGCGCCTCTGCGAACTGCTCCGTTTTCCCCAGGCCTTGCGGGCACCACTGCCAAGCTCCGGAAGCTTTCTGTGTTTACTGCGACTCTGTGGGCACTAGCATTCCTTAGTGAAAAAGAGAAGCAACTTGAAGCCCTGCCTCAAAGCACCAAAGCAAAGGGGCACCACAACGCAGGTCAGTATTTTTGTTCTTCGTCCTGGACTTTCCGAAAGGAGCGCCAAAAACAAAAGGTTCCAGGACTTGGGGAGTTGAATTTTGAGTCCCGGACCCTTTGGTGGACGTTTCGGTTCACATCACTTGTGAGGTGGTTCCGCTTCAGGAAGGCGCGAACCGCCGAACGAAAAGGCTTCCCGGAAGCGATGTGGTTTCTCGGCTACTCGGCCACGCAAACGATTGCGGCGACCTCAACGGGTTCCATCTGAGGCGCGTGCCCTACCAGCTCCTGATTAGGGGGCCAAACCTGGGCGAATGGCTCAGCAAACTCTTCATGTGCCTCAGAGGGCCAATGAACAGCCAGTGAGTCAAGAACACTGTCGAAGCATCAATTAGCACCCTTTGCGGACCCCCAGTGGCGAACAATCTTTGGAAAGCTGGCAGCTGATGTGGAAATCTTGGGCAAGCGACAAGTCCGTGGAAGCTTGCAGCCATTGGAAACATGGTCTTCCACAGCTCTGCGACAGAAACAAACGGCAGCATGGGCCATGCACCAAGACAGTCAAGAATAGCTACGAAAGGAGAAACGCATCATCACCTCCGTTCATTCTGCATTAAAACCATTCTGCAAGCTTCAGAGTTCATTGCAACTCTGCGCGCATCCGTCACACATGAATCCGCTGCGGCTCAAGCAGAAGCCTTAAAAGTCTCAGTTGACATGCCGTTCTGGCATACCTTTCTCGGCGCAGCTGTGCCAACATGTCATCATGTTCAAGTCCGTTTGAGCAACTTGGGCCCTGGCTCACCTCCACAAAACAGCCCATCTTGGCGCCGATGCGCTGGTCCACCTCTGCAAATCTTGGAAAGCTGGGCAAAACAGCTCTGCCACATATTGTGAACTCAAGCTTGTCAGACCGCGCTGGATCGCCTCCTAGCTTGACATGGTTTTCAGCCACCAAAAGTACCGCGCCGACGCTCTACGCTGCTCGGGCATGGAAGCATGCCTCGCCTTGAAGCCGTCACAGCAACTGTTCGCCGTCCGTAAGTAGATTGCCCATGGCTGCTGATGCCGGATGATGCTGATGCGGGATGATGCCGTCGGTGTTTGAAGACCCCTTTACAACTAGTGTCTGAAGGCAAGCAGAAATCGCCATGTAGCTTGATCTCCGCATCTCGCAACTTAAGCATGACTAGTCCACTGGCCAAAATCACAGCAATAGGCAAGCAAAGGGAGCTCCTTCTCGTTGTACAAAGTAAGAGAATCCTCTGAGGCGTTGACCAAGGCCATGAACCCTTGACTAAAACCT